TGATTCAATTTGAATTTTTAAACAGTGCTTTCAAACAATCTTTATCCATCACAAATTTTATTCCCCACCATTTAAAGCATGCCGCCCATAACCCAATCACAATCTTGCACTGGATGAACAGGTGGTTAGAATCCTCAACCTCCTCCTCGCACAATACACACTTGTAATCAACAATATCGTTGAATCTTGATAATGCCCTTTTTATTTTTTATTTTTTTGAACAGCAAAAAATAATATTTATTTATTAATAAATTGAGTACAAGGGGTACTCCAAACCCATAAACATCATAACTTGAAAGGCATCATATTACATGAGTGGAGTAACCTTTCGTATAGTGTCGACCCCTGAGATATGTGTCAACACTACACCCGTGTCGGAGTTTTGGACGTTTACCATATGGTGTCGACACCAAGATTATGTGTCGACACTATGGCCGTGTTGAATTTCTATCCTCCTTTGCAGTTTCTTCATATGAGCCCATCAATCTTAATTACATAACACTTGGCTTTCTTTACATAATCATGCAGAAAGAAAAATGAAAGTAAAGACTCAGATTAAGCACCATGCAATTAAATGTTATTCATCACCACAATTAAGTTCAGCACTTATCTTCTCCCCACCCAAAAGGGTCTCACCTCCATTGTATGGTCTTTGTCAAATGTCTGCCCTCTTTTTTGTGAAGGCTGCAAGAGTGCTCAATCTTGGTTGTTGTATCCAATCAGAGAGTGAAATCCCCTTCCCTTCACCTTTGAGTTTAAGCCACTGGAATGAACCAGTTTGCACCAAGTCAAATAGTTTCGCTTCGTCCAAGTGTTTGCTCTGGAATATTACCTCATTTCTTGCCAGCCATATTGTCCAAGTGATTGCAAACCATATAATTTTCCAGCCTATTTTAACTGTTGTGTTGCTGAAAAGGTCTTTGTGTTGGTTAAAGGCATCCCAACATGTTCTAGGCATTACATGTTCAACTCCCCACCATTGAAAACATTTTGACCAGAGATTAAAGGCTGTTTTGCAGTGTAGAAATAGGTGGTTTGTGTCTTCAACAACAGCCATGAGAAGTAGAGACCTTGCTTGGTATGATTAGGTTCCACACTTTTTTCAATTCAGATACTAGGTATGACACGCAGATTTTTCACAAGTTCCTTATATGCAATACTTGTTGAGTAATGGCCATCTGCACCATGAATCCATTCCCACATGTCTAGTCTTCCTCGCACCACTTGGTCAGTTTGCAGATCAGCAAGCAACACTGAAACCTGTTGTTGTTCCCAGTTGCATAGAGTCCTTCTCCATTGAAACTTCCATTCCCATGTACCATTATGCCACTTTCCCATTTGATATATCGTTTTATCCTTCCCTATAGATAAGAGATAAAGCCTAGGAAATTTGTTAGCAAGACTCTTTCCTCCACACCACTCATCCCACCAAAATTTAACCTTTTCTCCCTCTCCCAAGTTTAGTTTGAACCCATCTACTAACCACCCCACCTCATTCCCCTCTACAACATTTAATCTACACACATCCAACCTTTTATAATTAATTTATATGAAACGTGTAAATATTGATTCGAATTCAATCAATTAATCAACTAAAATAATTCATATTTTAATATTAAAATAAATATCAATTTTTACAATTTTAATATAAATTAATTACAAAATAATGAATTTACTACATATTTAGCTACATGTTAAACAAACCCTTGTTTATAACACTCATGTCATATGGATATTTTAAATTAGGCAATCGCTAAAATTAATTTGTAATAAAAATAAATAAATACACTCTTGATCTATATTTTAAAAATAAAAATTAAAAAATTATTTTTTTAATAATATAATAATTAATTAAGATAAAATAATAGGTCATTACTCCTATAATTGAGGTTGTAACAGTAAGACCACCTGACAATATTCCCTTAATTGGATTGGATGTCATTAATTAATGAAAGCCATTAAAGATTCTGGTTTTGTATAAACGAATCCCCTTATCAAGTGGACCCCTGAATATCTACCACAAATTTATAAAGGGATTACAGCCAACTATAGTGCCTCTACTTTCAATTTTCATTCATTATTCTCCTTGTACTTACATATAGTTCCAAGCCCTCCCTCTACTTTAACTTTCCATTACATTTACCTCCCTCCCCCAACACCAGCCTAACACCGTTTATGACTCCCATTCAACATTGGCATCTTTGACCGTTA